GTGTCCAGGAGGGGAGTGAACTTTGAGGTTTCCAGCGCCAGCCTGCCTGTCTGTGCATCTCCCTCACACGCAGCTACTTTTCCAGTACCATGTCTGCCTACATGCCACCATGCTCCCCATGCAGTCCATGACTAAACCTCTGAAACAATAAGCAAACCCCAGTTAAACGCTTTCTAAGAGTTGCCATGATCAGTCAGGCAGTAGTGGTGCATGCCTTTACTCTCGGTACTCAAGAGGCAAAAGCAGGCAGATCTATAAAACAAGCTTCAGAGTGGAAAGATCTCCCATGATTTTGGATAGGCACAACTAACATAGTAAAAATGGCAATTTTACCAAAAGCAATCTACAGATTCAATGCAATGCCCATCAAAATCCCAGCAAAATTCTTCAAAGACATTGAAAGAACAGTACTCAACTTCATATAGAAAAGCAAAAAAACCCAGAATAGCCAAACAATCCTGTACAACAAAAGAACTTCTGGAGGCATCACAATCCCTGACTTCAAACTCTGCTACAGAACTACAGTACTGAAAACAGCCTGGTACTGGCATAAGAACAGACAGGAGGACCAATGCAACTGAATAGAAGACCTAGATATCAATCCACACATCTTCGAACACCTGATCTTTGATAAAGAAGCAAAAAAACAAAGGGAAAAAAGAAAGCATATTTAACAAGTGGTGCTGGCATAACTGGATATCAACATGCAGAAGAATGAAAATAGACCTATATCTATCACCATGCACAAAACTCAAGTCCAAATGGATCAAAGACCTCAACATAAAGCTAGCCACACTGAACCTTAGAGAAGAGAAAGTGGGAAGTACACTTGAACACATTGGCACAGGGAACCACTTCCTAAATATGACCCCAGCAGCACAGACACAGAGAGAAACAATTAATAAATGGGACCTCCTGAAACTGTAAAGCAAAGGACATGGTCAGCAAGGAACAGCCTATAGAATGGGAAAAGATCTTCACTAACCCCACATCAGACAGAGGTCTGATCTTCAAAATATAAAAAGAACTCAAGAAATTGGACATCAAAAGAACACATAATCCAATAAAAAAAAATGGAGTACGGTCCTAAACAGAGAACTCTCAGCAGAGGAATCGTGCCACAAGGACATGTGCTCAACTATGTTCATAGCAGCTTTGTTTGTCATAGCCAGAACCTCGAAACAATCTAAATGTCCCTTGACCGAAGAAGGGATAAGGAAAATTTGGTACATTTACACAATGGAGAAAAAAATAACAAGAGCTTGAATTTTGCAGGAAAATGGATGGAGCTAGAAATCATTATATTGAGTGAGGTAACCCAGACACAGACAATTATCACATGTACTCACTCTTAGGTGGTTTTTAAACATAAAGCAAAGAAAGCCAGCCTACAAACCAACAATCCCAGAGAACTTAGACAACAATGAGGACACTAAGAGAGGCTTACATAGATCTAATCTACATGGGAAGTAGAAAGTAGAAAAAGACAAGATCTCCTAAGTAAATTGGGAGCATGGGGACCTTGGGGGAGGGGAGAGGGAGGGAGGGGAGCAGAGAAAAATGTAGAGCTCAAAGAAAAAAAAAAAAAAACAGGTTTCAGGACAGCTAGGATTACACAGAGAAACCTGCAATCCCAGGTCCCAGGAAGCAGAAACAGGTGGATTGATTGGTCACAAATTCAAGGTTAATTTAGCCTACAGGGTAAGTTCCAAGACAGCCCAGGTAAAAACTTACATGAAAATGCAAAAATAAAAAAATAAAAAATAAAGGAGGAGGAGGAAGAAAACCACAGCTGTATACAAATAATTAGATGTCCTGAGTGGCCAAAGGAAAAAGGATGCATAAAATGCTAAGAATTAAAGCAGAAAAGGAAGTCTACAGCCATTCTATCACAAGGTCTTAGGCCACAAAAAGAGGAACTAATGAGGATGTGGAAGGAAGACAGACTACTAAAGAGACTGAAGAAAGGAAAACACGAAGATACTGCTGTGGTAATTAGAATATTGCTATAATGACGCAAAGGAGAGCAGATGAAGTAGAAGGAATTCAAACAGTAGCAACAGCAGGAGCACCAATCAATATCAACTTTAATTTATGTGGCATCTGTATGCACTATTACTTGATCTGCATAACGTCATGAATGAAAGGTATTCTTGTCCCTTTTACAAATGAGAAAACTAAAGTTTAGAAAGGTTAAGTCAATTTTCAAAAGTCAGCATGGCTAATACGTAAGAGTTTGGACAGAAATCCAAGACTGAATGACTCCAGTGTCCAGACTCTTGACCTTACGCTCGTGCAGTGTGGTACAAACAAAGAGGAGAAACATGAAATCTAGAGGTCCTCAGATGACACCATCAAAGAGATCTCTAGTTACACACTAACTTCTCCTTCCTGAAATCTTCCCAAAAATTGATTACTTCTTTTATCTAGAGATTTTTATGAAATATCTTAGTACGCTTAACAGATGATTAAACTGAATTTTTAATCATATCAAGCTTTAGTATCTTACAGAAGAATTTTTTAATTCAAAAACTTACTTGTGAAAGCTGTGAATGTATACAAGGCTTTGGGATTCAATGTCCAGTGCAACTTAAAACCAACACCTGGGTGCCGGAGAGATGGCTCAGAGGTTAGGAGCACTGGCTGCTCCAGAGGTCCTGAGTTCAATTCCCAGCAAGCACAGGGTGGTTCACTACAATCTATAATGAGATCTGGTGCCCTCTTCTGGCCTGAGGCATACATGCGGGCAGAACATCACATACATAATAAATAAGTAAATCTTAAAAAAAAAAAAAAAAGCAAATACCTGAACCCCCACCACAAGCCCATATGAAGAAAACAGAATAAAAAGACACAAAAAGAGAAACAAGAAGATGGCTCAGTGGTTAAGTGCACTTTCTAGAACACCTGAATTTAGTTCTCAGTACTCATATCAGGTGCCTGCAACTCTAATGCCAGAAGATTCAACACTTTTTCCTAGGCTCCATATGTATCTAACATACACATGGCATATACACACAAAGACATACATGTGTACCTACATATACATGGGATAAACACACAAAGATATACACATATACACAAAAAAAATCTAAACAATTATTTTAAAAGAGAAACAAATTTAGATTTGAAATAATGCTATTTCCAGTCAGAAAAATCAACCCTGGTTATATTCAAAATGAATGAAAATAGATATATATGCCTTAGAATTCCTAAAAAAATAGTAGTATGGAAGGAATGTTCATTAAAAGTATCTAAAGTAAGCACAAGGGGGAAAACTCTTTAAAATCTTCGAGCCATAAACAGCTCAGCTATCTGAAACATACATAATTTTATCCTAATAATATATGGTAATGTTTGTCATGAAACATGTCAGGATCTATGGAAAATAGCCGCCTAATGATTTACAGTTTTAATTCTAATTTGATAACTGTATTTTTGTTTGTTTGTTTGTTGGTTTTCGAGACAGGGTTTCTCTGTAGTTTTGGAGCCTGTCCTGGAACTAGCTCTTGTAGACCATCTGGCGTCGAACTCACAGAGATTTACCTGCCTCTGCCTTCCAAGTGTTAGGATTAAAGGTGTGCACCACCACCTGGCATTGATAACTGTAATTAAGAATAAGAATTGGGCTGGACAGTGATGGTGCACACCTTTAATCCCCAACACATGGGAGGTAGAGGCCAGCCTGGTCTATAGAGCAAGTTCCAGGACAGCCAAGGCTGTCACACAGAGAATCCTTGTCTCAAAAAACCAAGAAACTAAATAAATGAATGGAAGAATGGAAGGAAGGAAGGAAGGAAGGAAGGAAGGAAGGAAGGAAGGAAGGAAGGAAGGAAGGAAGGAAGAATTGGAGCTGCTCTATTTGAATATGCAGGTCATCTTTTATCCATTACAAAAATATTTGTTGAACTGTCAGTTGCACTACAGGTGACAGGCCAGGCATGGAGGTGCACACCATTTTTTTCCTTAATGACTTATTTAGTTTATGTGCAATGGTGTTTTGTCTGCATTTATGTCTGTGTGAGGACGTCAGGTCCCCTGAAACTGGAGTTATAGACAATTGTAAGCTGTCATGTGGACACTGGGAATTGAATTCAGGTCATCTGGAAGAGCAACCAGTGCTCTTAACTTCTGAGCCATCTCTCCAGCCAGATGGTATACACATTTAATCCCAGCACTGGGAGGTAGAGGCAGAAGAATCTCTGTGAGTTCCACCCAGCATGGTCCACACAGTGAGTTCCAGAATAGCCAGGACTACAACTGAGAGATCCTGCCCCATAAAGTAAAAAAGTGGGGGGGGAGGGGGGAGTGGCACTTCCTTTAATAAAATAATTCCTACTTTCTGCTCTTGTTTATAATATCCACTTTTTTTTTTCTTTTTTGAAAACGAGTTTCCCTTTGTAGCCCAGGTTGGCCCTGAACTTGTGCTCCTCCTACCTCAGCCTCCAGAGAGCTGAGGTTACTGGGATTTCAGACATGTGCCACCTTGTCCATCTTACTACGCTCAGTTATAACATTCATTTTCACAAATCCACAGTTCCCCTGATCACGACTATAAGTTACTTTAATAAAATATGACAAATATTTCTCACTGAATTGTGCATCTGGACAAAGTTATACTTGCCATGTTTTAACAGTTAAATTATCTGGGGTGACTGGCTCGTCCCAGATATTAACCATAGTGTCAGCTTTAAAAGCCTGTGTAGAATTGTTAAAGCCAATAAATAACTTACAACTTGGTGGAAAGCTGTAAAAATTTTCAGCTGAGTGATTACAAACTGACTGATAGGCTCTTGAGGCCTTATTTGTCAGTAGTATGTGCACACTGAGGAAAGTGCACTGTTGTTAGTTCCAGTTCTAACTTGCAGCTGAGTCAAAACTCTGCAGCCTGAAAGCAGGAAATCCAAAAGGAAATTCCATCATCAGATCCCGGGTCTTGGCAACTCAAAGGTCCTCAGCGGCAGATAGAGCAGCTCTCCAACCCTTTACTGTAATCTTACCTCATATCTTCAAGTAAATCACATTCTGCTTGATGTTTGGCTTGAAGTTTTGTCATCTGCTCACCTTGAATGTTTTTCAGTTCTTGTGTAACTTTCACCTAAAACATAGCATGTATTTATAAAGGCTTTTACTACCATTTGAACAAGAAAAAATACTTAAAGAAGACAATATTTGTTAGAATGTATACTTCTAGTTTTCCTCTCCCTAAAGACTAAAAAATTCATTATTTGCCACCTAGTTTTATTACTTAACTATAACTAATGAAAAAAATTAGCCAAAGAATCTAAAACAGGGACGAATAAAAATTCAAAAACATTAAAAATACAGTTTAAAAGAGTGCAAGCTGTCATTCTGTCTTCTTTCTTCTCAAAACTACAGGCATTAACCATAGATGGAAGAAACCATACAGTATCTAATACTTAGCAACTGAAATCTACACAATCATGAAATACTATGCATGAATAAACTACATAATATAAAACCATAATGACTGCAGGAAAGCACAGTATCTCAGAATGATGCCCTCCACTCTGACGGCGCATCAAATCACAATCTCTTTCTCACAAAGGAGACTGAAAAAGTGACCTGCCAGCATATGCAGGGCTTTTAAACTAACCCAGTAAGCCAGGCCAGGTGGCAGCCCCACTTCAAACAGTGAGAACCGCCAAAGCCAGCTGGCTGGAGTCTTCCCGGCCAGGCCGGACCCCGGGGGTTGCGATTGGTTTACGATTCTGGTGGAATCCTGACCACCCGAGCAAAGGTACAGGGAGAGTTGGGGTACACGTGCAGGCGGAAAGGGTGGGGGAATGAGTTAACTGGAGAAATCCAGATTAAGAAAGGGAAAGGAAAGGAAAGAGAGACGATGAGTGGCAAATGTTTGCCCACGAGGGGAGGCTATAACTGTCTCTCCCCACTTCTCAAAGTAGATTATCTAGTATCCAACTGAAAAATGTAAAAAGACAAGGACACAGCCTTAGCCGCCGGGAAGGTAAAAAAAGGGCGGCGCAGCGGGGAAGCTGCTGGCAAGCCCCAGAGCGCCCGTCACTGCCACCCAGGCCATGCAAACCCCAGCGGTAGAGCTCAAGCCACGCATCGCCAGGTCCTGGCTTTCAAACTGGAAGCTCCACCGATTTCCTGGCCCCTTAGCCAGAGGCGGGGCTGGCCGGGGTGGGGGGAGCAGGACCAGTCAATCCTTAATTTACTTTCCCTTGGGAAGTGGGAGGGCGGTGACCGTACCAACTTCTTTTCCGCAGCCCCGTGGGAAAAACAGGCCAAATCGTGAGGCTAGACTTGAAACCCCCCCGGCAAATGTGCCAATGGGTGGGGTGTCGACAAGCAACTAGAGGGCTCGAACCTGGCGCAGACTAAAAAATCACACACACACAAGGCTCTGCAAATCTTCAGGGGCTCTGCCGCCTCCCCTCCCTGCAGCCCCAAGAATGCACTTTGCACTGGGCAGCACTGCCATGCAGATAGACACACATATGCATGCCCGAAAACCTCTAGTCAATGTTTAGGGGGGAGGGAGTGTCCTCCCTAGTGTGGTGGACAAGCACTGGCAGCCCCTCTGTCGGAAAGGCACCTCACACACGCGACCCCCTGCCCGGAGCAGGCGGCAACTCAGTGACGAGCCAAGAGGCGAGAGCGGTCACGGTCCCTTGCGGGAAGGGGGAGGGGGCGCAGCGGTCGCCCCAGCCGCGTTCTTTGTACACAGCACCACCCCCCAAACCTCCAAAGACCCCCGCCAGCGGCGCCCTCACCTTCCTCGGCGGCGGCTGCATGATGCTGAAGGGACATCAATCCTCCGCCCACCCCCGACGGCAGCGTTTAAAGGATTGTGAGGGTGAGGGTGAGCAGGGCTGGAGAAAAGGGGGCGGCCCAGCGAGCCAGAGCGCGCGCGCGCTCGCGTGCGTGTGTGTGTGTGTGTGTGTCTGTGTGTGAAAGGAGAGCCTGAGGAGGAGAAGTCGCCCCGGAGACGGCGAGGCAGGCGGACAGCAGCGGAGTTTGGAGAGAGGGAGGAGGAGCGCCGGGAAGGCCTGGGGCCCGGGCGGCCCGGGGGGTGTGTGAGGGAAGGAGGCGGGGACGGCCAGGGGGCGGGGGCCGCGAGCGGGGGCGCTGGGGGGCTCGCGGCTCGCCGGGCGGCTGCTGAGGAGCGGCCGCCGTCGTCCGCGCGGCTCGGCTGCACTGGCTGCCGCGGCGCCCCCTCCCACCCGGGCAGCCAGGCCCTCGCGGCGCCCGACGCCCCCGCCCGGCCCGGGAAGGAGGAAGGCGGGGCTGCGCGCTCCGCTAGGGCTCCGCCAACCACTCAGGCCGCGGGAATTTCCGGCCCCGGCGCGCGCCACAGCGCCCCGCTCCGGCGGCCGAGGGGAGCGCCGAGAGGGGTGGCGCCGCGCCACGGGGCTCCGGATCTCGGTGTGAGAAGGGGGGACACTTCATGGATTGATCGGCGGAGGGCTCGAGAGAGTCCCCCGGTTCTGCGAGTGGAACGTTCCAGACGCTTCCCCCCCCCCCTTCTCCCTCCCCCACTCCAAGAAGGCAGCTGGGGGCTTCCCGCGCGCCTTCCCGCCAGCCCGCTGGGGCGCGCGCGCCTCCTCCGGGAGCGCGCACGTGGGCGGGAGAGGGCTGGCGCCGACTCAGGCGCAGAGGCCGCCCCCGCCTCCAGCTCCCCTCTCCCGACTGCAGCGTTTGTACGGGAATTTTCTAAGGAATAGAGGGGCCACGCTCTCAGTTTGATTATTTGCAGCGAGGAGAATTCCCGATTTTGCTTCCTCTCGGTCCCTAAGGTACCCTCCCTCCTTGTCAGCTGAGAAATGTTCACTGAGAAATTGAGCATGAATAAGTCATTTTACAATTGGCCGCAGGTGCCAGGCCTATGCCGTTGGAGGAGGACAGGAAGAAATAACATAAAATTGCCAGGCGAAGGAATGAGTTGCCCTCTACTACAGAGCATTTCGCCAGAGAACATGGAATCGACTGAAAAAGAACGAGAAATTCTTTTTAGTCATGCATTCCCATATCACGGACAGGAAGGCTAGTGTTCACAGAGAAATGAAGATGGTCTTAAGGTCGCGTGGCATGACTAGGCTCCTTGAATCAGGGTTATGAAGAAACAAGCTGGGGGTGGGGAGGTGGATTTTGCTCAGTGTTAAGAGCCCATGCCTAGCAGCCATAGAGGTCTTGGGTTCATCACCAACCTGGCAGAGGAAAAAAAGAAAAGGAAAAGGTGAAGAATAAGAACCATAGACAGCAAGAGCCCTGGAGGAAACTTTGGAAGGAAAGCCCTTGTCTGGAAGTGAGGACTTCTAGGTCAACTCACTTTATTCTATGCTGGTTGGATGAATTCAGCCTCCTCAAACAATGGCAATTTCTTGCTTTATCCAGACCACCCGAGGAGTGGGCATCAGGCTTCCTTGGGTTGCTTGGGAAAAGTAGAAAAACCTCTTCATCACTCCTTAGCACTTGCCTTGAGACACAGATCCACACACAGCCACTGTGTGTGCTGGATCACACACACACACACCACAAATACAGAACTTGCAGTCCCGGAGAACTATTCTCAGAAACACAGTTCAGGAAAAAAAAAAAAAAAGGAAGGACCATGAGGCCTGACTAGACCAGGGGGACTTGCCAGATAGCCTACTGGCTCTGGCCAAAAGATGGAAAAGTGGGGCTCGGTCCCAGGTGTTAACATTACGCTAATCCTCCTTCTTGTGTGGGGAAGTAACAGAGCTCTAGAGTTGTGTATGAACTAGAAAACCTACTCTTCTATTTCTGGTTTCTTTGAAGCCATTTGCCACCTGCATCCTCAATCAGATCAGAGAAGGCCTGAGGCAAGGGAAGCGTGCGTGGGAACCCGAAGTCCTGAACACCACCATGGGGCAACTCTTAGGGGTAGGGAGATGGGCCCCATGCTCGGCCTCGTCACCGACCCTTGTACTCCTCCAGTTTTTGTCTCCTCACCTACAGAATAGCAGTATAAAGTATCCTTACAGACTTCTTGTACTAATTAGAGTGTCTCCAACTGCAGGCCTGGTCAGTGTTCAATAAATGTTGTTTCATTCAGTGATAAAGTATTTGCTCACTTTATGTGAAGCTCACACCAAACACTAGGATGTAGACATGAACAAGGCAGAGTCACGTAGAGTTCCAGACTAAAGGGGCGTGGTGACAGCACCATCCCGGCTCATTGTCCTGCATGCGGCAAGCGCCTAACCAAGGTCTGCTAAATTCCAGTGCTTAGGTGCAACTTCTCTGGCACAGGGGTTAGCCCGTTATGTCCTTGGAAGTAAATACTGAGGATATAAAGTTGATTTGGGATCTGGCCTAGACACTAATTTCCTGTGCATTCGATGAATATCGGAACCCGTCTATAACATAAAGTAAATGATACGATGTGTGGTATCAAACATCTAATTAATGTAATCTCGGCACTGGGAAGGGTAAAGCAGAAAAATCGTGAGTTTGAGGCAGCTCAGTTTATCTACAGAGACCCTTTTTCAAATCCTAAAGTTTTGGGGGCTTGTTTGGGGTTTTGGGGTTTTTCTGTTGTTTTTAAGACAGGGTTTCTTTGTATAACAGCCTAGCTAGCTGTCCTCGAACTAACTTTCTTGACCAAGCTGTCTTTGAAATCTTAGAGATCCTCCGGCCTCTTCTTCCCAAGTGCTGGGATTAAAGGTGTTCGCCACCACTGCCTGGCCAAATCCTAAACTTTCTTATTGTTTCTTCAACCTAATGTTTATGATAACCCTATAACATGACATTATTATTTATTCATTTCTTTTTTTTTTTTGATTTTTTGAGAATCAACCCTGGCTGTCCTAGAACTCACTTGTAGACAGGCTGACCTCAAACTCACTGAAATCTGCCTGCCTCTGCCTTCCAAATGCTGGGATTAAAAGCATGCACCACCACCGCCCAACTGTTTTCATTTCTACAGTAAGAACCCAAAGACCCATAAGAGATTAGTGACTTGTCCTGATAGATTTGGAATCAGAACCCACATCCTTCTATTAGGCATTGTTCTCTATGAAGAATATTTAAAGGAATTGAGAAATTTCTCCCAGTGTGATGAGTTAGTCTTTATTGTCAACTTGACTGGATTTGGAATCACCTAGGAAACACACCTCTAGGCATGTCTGTTAAGGTTGTTAGCAGAGAGTTTTAACTGAAGGAAAGATCTACTCTGGCTGTGAGCAGCATACCAGGGACGGGTCCCAGGATGAATGAAAAGGAAGGAAGAGGAGGCAGACTGAGTGCCAGCTTCAGTCTGTTTCTTGATGTAGGTACAATGTCACTGACTGCCTCCTGCTCCCACTGGCAGATTTCCATAATGGTCTGTATCCCCTTACACTGTAAGCCAGAATGGACTGAAAACTGAAAAGGTAACTCACGTCTCAGGAATACAACAGCCTTGATGCAGAAAATACAGAACGGAGCAAGGAATTTCTGTGATCTATGAAGGCCTGACTTAAATATACCTCTTCCAGCAAGTATGGGGACTTGAAGAGTTTTTCTTCTGTATTGTAAGTTAGCAAAGTACTAGATTGTTGAAGGGAAATCTGCAGGGCACTAAGCTCTTTGGCCTCAGAGACAACACAGATCTCTGCAGATCTCAGGAAGGTTTCCAGGCAGACCAATCCCTGGAAGAAGTGAGTGATGGTTTCCATCCCTGGGGCTGTACACGTAGGTACTGGCTTTGGTCCATTGAAGAGACCATATGTTGAACTTTTATTCAGAAAAGCTAGCATTTATTGTGCGTCCATGCTTCAGACATTGAAATGGGCATGTGTTTTACATTGTTTCCACTCTCACAACATCCCCTCGTAGTCCATATTACCCCATTTTCATAGGCTGAGGCTCAAACATGAACTACCCAGGGTCACAGAGCCAATAAAGGAGAGCCAGCCCTGGTCTCTGGCTCCCCCGACTCTAAAGTTGTAGTATGCACCTGCCAGAGAGTGATTGAAAGTCAAAACCAGGATTAAAAGCTGGCCTAGTGTAGGAATATAAGTGTGAACTAGAAGACCAATACCACTAATATTCTACATAATTTCTTGAAGCAAGGTATATAGAAGTCTTTTTGTGACTATAATAGATGCCTCTTCCCACCTGCCCATGCTGCGCGAGCGCGCGCGCGCACACACACCCACACACCCACACACTTCCACAGCCTCTCTGCTTCTTCTCTGTCATCCTCACACCTACCTGGTACATGCTGCTCAAGACTTCTTGTCAGAACATCCAGAGGCTGGCCATTCCCTGCCTGCCTGGGCCTCACCAAGCCCAGCTGAGGGTGCTGTTGAAGATGGCTGGATTTGAAGACCCTACTCTCATTCACCTCATTGCTACTCTGGTCACCTTTCCTTAACCACTGCCCTTCTCTGTACTTCTGTGAGTGGACTTCCTCCAGTCAGCCTGAAGAGTATACTGTCTGCTCCAGACAGAATCCCAGTTCAACCACCAGAACAGGGTAGGGGTTTTCCTACAGCACACAGTGAGTTGGTAGCAGAACAGATAGAACAGATTCTATCAACTGTTCCTCAACAAGGTTTTTTTATTCTGGGCTTAGTCACAAGTAACTCTCTGGGGTGAGCCCAAGGCTCTGTCCCAAGGAGCTCCCAATCTCCGTGCATGACCAAAGGTCACAATAGTGATTGGGACATTCAAGGTCAGGAAAGTCAGAGGCCCAGTCCTGTCCAATGGTAGCAGAGATCTAAGCCCAGAGCTAAGTCCTTAAGGTGCAGGCAATGAGGGAAGAAATTACCTGGTCATTTTGAGCTCTAGGCCATTGTATTATAGCTTATGGGATAAGGACAGGAGTAATTCCAGGACTATGGTTGGAACTGGCAGACGTGACACTGAAGTTCTTCTAACCTTATCTTTGCCAGGTACTTGCTTCCGGGCGTGTTACTTCAACCTTGGTTTCCATTTCTGTAGAATGATAATAACAGATTTTTTTTCTGTCTCCCTCTTAGGAGAACTGCTGTGCTGGCTAAATGAAATGTCAGGTATATGAAATATGAAGGGCTGAGTAGGCATGAAAGCCAATGACTGCCAATCTGGGATGCAGAGAGAAAGCTGAGTGACTGTCTATGTGAGGTGCCAGTGGGAGCTTCCCCCAAGAGCTGCACTGTGATTACAGCTCTGGAAACCAGGGATCAGGGACTGGAGCAGTCGGGTGGGTGGAAACATGATAGTTCAGGGGCAAAGCAAATTCTTAAGTTAGATGGCATGCTCCCTCTTCTGCCTCACTCTGGGTTCTTGACA